TCTCCCTGCCCCTCCTGCAGTGAACCTAATGTCCTCGATGACTCCCAGGGCCTGGCCGCTGAGGGCAGCCTCTCTAGGTACAGTGTCAACACTACCTGTCTGTCAGTGTCTGTGCTGGGAAATAATGAGTTTCCTATATCCTCTGTCTCTCTTCCTCACCCTTTGTCTCTCTTTCCATGTCTGTCTTTTGTTGGTCATTGATACTCAGGCTCGCAAGTCAAAGGTGTAGTAACCCAACTTCAGCTTTGATTGCCAATAGCTTTTAATTCCTAACAATCTTGAGGAAGTAAAAAAAAAAAAAAAAAATCTTGCCAAGCCAAAATATGTCTGCCTGTCATGGATTTTTCCTTGATAGCTATTGCTCTGAAGACCTAAGAAAGTAGCATCATCACCATGGCATTAAATGTAACCATTTATGAGCACCAGTTTGGGAACATACTTTAAAAAAATCTATCATAAATATTATCTATATTATGTATCTTATCAAAATATATCATTTCACAATATCACCAACTAGAAACACTTTAATCATTATTCTCTCCTTTAGCATTCATTAATAATATAATTCTCTAAGAATTCCTGAATCCCCATGATTTACAAATTGCAGTCATTTTGTAAATGCAGCCTTAGAGATTTCAGGCAAATACTGTTCATCCTCATAGAAATTGCTCTGGCAACGTCATTGTCCAAGCGTTGCAAGCTAGCATTTCTCATGAACAGGAGAGGTGAACAGACATTGTTATGACTGTGCCTTTAAAGCATTTTGGTTGTAAGGTTTTAAAAGGAGGACTGCACCTTTAACAGTCAGCTCAGCCATGTAAACCATTTCTTCCTAGTGCACTACTGTGGTCATACCTCTCAACTGATCCTCACTAGGTGGGAAAGCTGTCATTCATTACAAGCTCTTTGCTTCCTTCTGGGAGAACATATTCTCACATTCTGGGAGACCACAGTTTTCTCCCTTACCAGATCTCTAGTAATTACTTTGTCACTCTTGCCTAAAGATGAGGCTGTGTTGAGAGGCATTCTCGTGAATTAATTGTGTTTGAGATTTCTCCAATTTTATTTTAATATTGGAAAAATGGGAAATTAAGCGTATTGTTTGGTGTCATTTAGATCAACCCCATGATTCATGGTGTCACTTGTGTTTGCGGGCCCTCTCCTGATCAGTCTCTGATTGGTGGTAATGTGGAAGTGTTGTAAAGAAAAGACATTGTCCTTTGGCAGCAGCAGGCAAGTTCCTGTATGGCAAAATGTATTCTTCTGTGCAAAAAAGAATCCTAAGAAGCCTGTCTTCTAGACAGTCAGCTGCACAGCAGCTCAGAAGCCTAAATTAATGTGAAAATCTCATTATATATGACAAGTGACCTGCAGATTGAGTCACAGCCTAATATTGATTGTGAAATATCTTGACTGATAAATGGTAACCAGGCTACATAGCAACTCTTGGCGCTACGTACAGGACAGCTGAGCCAGCTGACAACATCAATGCCAAAATAATTCATGTTGATCTCTAAATTCTAAACATATGCACGGTGAGTTTTGTTAGCTACTAGCGTGCCAACCTTTGCCCAGAACAGGATTTTGTGCATCCTGTGCTGTGCTGTGTCGAGTTTTCTTAAAGTAGTTGGTCAGTGAGCATTGTCAGATAGGTAGATTTGTACTGAGAGACTGTTTCTGATGGGGTTTATTATTTTTGAAGACACAGACGTAGACTTCTTTGTTTTAAAGAGGTGACACTTTTATTCCACAGTACTTTAAAAGAGACTCAAGGTAATGGTGGAGCAAATTAACCTGATCTTTGTGAAAAGGCTACAATTATAGTTCTGTGTAAGATAAAAAACCCGACATTTTAGCTGTACTGTGTGTACTAAAATGTGCAAATTACCTTCCTTCTCTAAAGGAGAGAAGCAATAAAAGAGACAGATAGCACAGCAGATTATGGAGATCATTGTTGTAGCAGAGGTTAAATATATTCTTACATTCAGGAACACTTGTTTTACATAAAACAGGCCAAGATTTTTCTTTACATATCTTTGATCTTCATTAGAGCAGGGATGAAAACTGCTAAGGATAACATACTGAATTTAGCAGCAGTCATTACTGATGAAATGAAACAAAGATCAGAACATTATGGAAACCAGGAATTTCAAATAAATGAAAAGAACAATGATAAATAAAGACAACACTAAAGTCGTTTTTCCCTTTGTGCTTGTACCAGTTAGAGTTACATAGATAAACAGCAGTGAACACAAGAAGAGAATAACATTCAAGTTCCTGAGATTATGCAGAAATGTGTACATGTAGGGAGGGGAAACTATTTTATTTAGCATAATGATTTATTGAGGTAATAACTTGAAATTAGGTGGAAGATTTTCCCGAAGCACGAGGGAAAAGAGAACGAGAATTTCCTATAATTGAAAGCTGTGATGCGCAAAGAAATTCCCTTTCAATGTTTCTGATATGTTTGTTTTAAATTAATCATGCTTAATAAGGAAAACTAGAGCAAATTAATATCAACAGGGCAAGTGTGGAAAAAAATTGACAATCTGTGGAACTCCCATGCCTGGTGTCTTGAGAAATTCAGCAGGTGCATTCTACTTAGATGCTTATCTGAAGATCTGGCAGCCACTAACGTCCATTTAATATACTTTAACAATGATTTACTTGCTTTTCTGGTTTTTGTTCTCCCCTCCCTGAAAACCACCACACTTTTATTTGTTGCATTAGTTCTTGTTATTCATGAAAATAACCTATCATAAATGTCAACCGGGCAACGCTTATTCCAGTTTGTCCTGTGTGATATGAATGTTACACTGGCCTGACATTTTTGTACTGTTGGCAACAATTTTTCACGAACAGCTTGTTTGTTTGTTTGTTCATCTGTCTCTGCACTAACCATGAAAGGAAGTAACATGATTGTCATTCATACTCAGCACATGTTAGAGGAGCACTCTTTCTGGACAGGAAAGTTTATAAGAGTGTTCTCCTCAATCAAATCTGGTTTATGTGCTCCAACCAAAAATCCTCTACTAGATGCTAGGTTCACAAGAGAAGTAGAATAAACTATGTCATGTGAAAATAGCATTTGATTTGATTGAAAGCAGCTATGTAGAGTCCCCAGAATCTGACCACCCAAGTATAATGATTGCTCCAAACCAAGAACAGAACAACAGTACAAGCTTGGTTTTGTTATGAGACCAGGAAAGAAGAGGAGGTACTTATGGAGTCAACAGGCCCTTTGAAACTAATTTTCACTGAAACCAGATTTTTTATGCTGTTCTGGAGAAGGGAAAAGCAAGCTCTCTCTCTCTCTCTTTCTCTCAAAATTTGGGGTGAATATGAGTATTTAGGAAAGTGAAAATGACTGCCATGCCCAGACAGAGTTTTCCTGCCGAATTTCACTGTTAAAACTCCTCCCACCTTTTACCTCCAATGGACATCTCTGCTCATACTCATAAGGTCTCCTTGAATTATGCTAATTTGCGTGATGGCATAATTCTGCTCATTAGAACACTAAACTCATTTCACATATGATGTGAAACTTAAACCCAGGCCAACAGAGGAAAAGCAACTCAGTCTAACATTTCTGCAATTTATCTTTGTCTTTAATGCACAGATTAGTCCATGGGAATAATTTTTCCTCGTGTCTAACATGCATGCAGCACAGTAACATCATACTCACAAATATAATGAATGATCTGTATCTAATGAGTTTAAGGTGTTTTCACTATGGGCACTTTTGACATGCTTATTCCATTACTGTAACAGATTATTTAAATTTAACATAATTTTAGTCTCTGACAGATGTCAGTCTCCCTATTCATAGAACTAAAAGTCATCATCTTTCCTCAGAAACTGTAATGACAACCTTACCATAGCTCAGTGATATTTAGCCACTTGGTTCAACAAACTTCTTATTGCATCATTTAAAAAAATATATTCTGCCGCCTCTTTAGAACCAAACATAGGTTCAATACAGTATTTCATCTATGTAAAGAAAATATTCATGTGCTAATATCCAGGGCTCGACAAATCAGTGAATCTACTCGCCCGTAGCAAGTAAATTTCAGCCGGTCGTCCCATTCACCGGTGGCGCGCGCATGTGCAATGCGGGTCTTGTGCATGCGCAGTGTGGGGCTGGCGAGTAGATTTTGCCACGGTTTGTCAAGCCCTGCTAATATCTGTCTGAGTCTCTAAATATTGGCGGGAGCAAGTCCTGAAGTAATTCTAGAGGCAAATAATTAACAGAATGTACACATTATAATGGCAACATGTCTGAATTTCTTATGTGAGGAAAAATGTAAATTCAGCCTATTACCATTGAGACCCTTGAGGGTGTATCGGAGTTGGCATTTACTGGTCTAAGCACTCTATGGGCTATAGGCTGTTCTCTGGGTCAAGAATGTAATGGTGACAACTAGAAGTAGCTTGTGGGATCATGCCATTCGTAGGGGCAGTCTCATCTTGACATTGACTGTTTCACTGTAAATCAAATTACACTGCGCTGAGTATTTGCTCTAGAGGATGGGATCTCTTTTGAAAGTATTGCCCAAGGGAGAAAGGATCCACATATACATTATTTTCTTATGTGGAGTTAAACCATTCTCCTAGCTAATGCACCCTCAAAAGTATTAGTGTTGTTTTTTTTCTCCTCCAGTCCTGGTAAGGCTGTGTGTTGAACCACACCTCCGCGGAGGCTCTGACCTCTTCCTAAGGGGGATCTAAGAAAGCCCAGGAAAACTGAGAAGAAAAGGAATGTTCTTTTTCTTAGATTAAGACATGCCAAATGCCAGACGTACTGCACTACTGATTAGTCAGCTGTGCCTACTGGCCAATGTTAGAAGCTGCCTTACTGTTTTGGCTTTGTCCTCCTAAGTATGCAGCTATTCCATTTGAAAGAAGTTCATCTAAATGTTACTTACCATTGTAACCATACCTATCTCAGGTTCAGTTCACTCAACTAAAATATTTGTGATCATTGCCTGCTAAGTGAGTAACTAACTGTGATTGAATTGGGAGGAATAATACAGTATTGCAGAAAAAGGATGCAGGGGAAGGAGAATCTAATTAATATCAAATTAACAAAGGAATTAGTTGAACAGTAGCATACACTACTTTAAAGCATTTAGCAGTCTCTTCTATTGCAAAACTGCTTTTACTTTTAACTCAGTTATTCAGACATCACTGACAACTTACAAAGTCCTAAAAGAATACTGTAGCTGTTTTTATATTTATTTTGCTCATTAGCCACAAAGAGACTTCAGGCTGCAAACATACCGAATGCACCTTGTTTGCATAAGTCACGCACCCTTTCTGTGTCATGTGTGTTCATGTTTCATTTTTGTTTAAAAATAAAATGACATTGAAGCCAAAAAGACAAAACAGAGGTGAGGCTTTGGAATCCAATTGGGAAAAATAGGCCTGGGTAATTACCCTCACCAAAACATCAACCCGAGGTAAAAAAGAGGCATTCTTGCCCTTTGTGGAGGCCAACGAGAAAGGACACAGAGAAGTGGGTATTGCAGAATGGGATACGTCAATCAATGATTGAAAACTGAACATCTCAATTTTCACAGCTCTGTGCTACCTATGCATGGCCTAGTAGAGAATGAACGCTGTGATTCCTTCTCCCATCCATTTTCTTAAACTCTGGAAATTGCAACCCAACATTTCCCCCTGTCCTTCAAAGATAGTCTTTGAAGTGACTGTGCCATTAGAGTTTTTTAGTCACAATGGCTAGGAATTATTCTAACCAGCCATTGCACTTCTATGGCTGTGCTGATATTGTCCACACTTAACAGGGTAGCAAGCGTGCAGAGTGAACCTGGACAACAGAATCTTCTTCAGCAACCTCTCGGAAGGAAGAGAGGCCTCAGACAGGTAAGATCACAGGGAGCAGGGAACATGACAATTTCCATTTGTTGCAGTCCACTTGCTGCTGAGATCTTCTATTTTCTGTTCCCCTTGCCCAGAATGCATCAGAGTCCTCTGTGTTGTGCTTGGGCAAGCAGAACCATTCAGGCACAAAGAAAGAAGTTACACTCCATTTCAGACCCCCAAACCCTTTCCTCAGAGCTATATTATTTGAGCAGAGGTCACTACATTCAAATTGAATTGGTGCAAAGTGCTTTATTTCAGCTCCTGAGTTTTTTAAGAAGCCAAAACATGCCCAGCCACTAAAAGAAAAATTGGTGACTATATCTAGGAGAATCATATAAATCAGGAGTGGGCAATAATGTTTTAAGTGGCCCTGGGCTGCCCCAGAAGGGGCGGAGCCTCCGGTGGAAGGGGTGGGGCCAGGATACTTCTGGGCTTTCTGACTGGTATATGGGTGGGGGAGTGTGTGACGTCTTTGCCCCCACTTGACCCCAGAGAGAGCTGGCCGTTCTCTCTAGGCGCCCGTGCTCCTAGTGGTGGGAAGAGACTTCGCCCGCCTGCCTGCCCCCTGGCCAATCAAGGCTTGGGGATGGGGAAGGCAGGGCAGGGGAGAAGCACGCAAAGTGCCATGCACTCCTTGCAGGATGGGAGGAGACTTTGCATGCTTCCCCCTCACCTCCAAGCCCTGATTAGCCTGAGGGCAGGGGGAGTGTGAAGTCTCTTGTTCCCTGCCCTCTGACGTATGACACTTAGTGTCAACCGCCATGCTATGATTAGTCACATTTCAATTGTACATTAGTGTCTTCTTGGCTTATCTTTACTCTGCTTTGTGTCCTGTAGCTACGAAGACCTCTTCTCTCACGTCAGAAGACCCAAACTGAACCTCGTAGCCGTCACGGGGCTCGACTTTCAACTACTCGTCGAAGTATACAGCCAAAAACAAAACCAAGTGGTGAGGCAACTCCTGCTTTCCCGCAGCTGGCACCTAAAGTAGGAGCTACTAGGTTTTGTTTTTCCTTTAAAGACAGGTTACAGTGTGTGAAATTGACATAGGTGGGTTTTCTGTAGATTTCTCTGAGCAGACGTACTGGATAGCTTGGGGGGGACTGATGAAGAGTTGTCTAGTCTTGTACCAGTTCTTAGCTAGCCCTGATTGGTAGCAGTTGGAAATTATGATCCCGGTGCTCCTCACTAATCCATGTGAGGCAAAATTTAGGGATTTCTGTCTAGTGTTTGGAGGAGAGATACCACACCTAAACATCCACTTCCACAAAACGATGGTTTCTCTAAAGGCCAATGTAAGAATGGATTTAGACACAGAATTATCTTCTCAGCCCCAGATAGAGGGTTTATGAGTCAGGGGTTCACCTGAGAATGCCCTGTCAACAGCACAAGTGCAACTCCAAAGATTGTGACAGTGCCTCTGCTGATATCAGCTGTCCTGGTAGAACAGTGAGAGGAAATGTCTCACATAGTGAGAATCACCAGTCCAGGACTCCTGGTGGGCTAGGGGGAACTGTCCGTTACCAGTCCCAAAGCCCTGCCCCTTCCCGCCATCACCTC